TTCTTGAAGGATTTTCAAGTATACACTTCTTGAACATGGCTAAATCTGTATCTGAATCAAAATTTCTTTATCACATCAGGTGTTCGAGATATAGAGTCCGTAAGATTGAAAACAACATCTCTTTCGAAAGTCTAATTCATTGACTTTAATATAAAGTCAAGACTATAATCTAAAGTCAAGATTATAGTCAAGACTATAGATTGATTTATAGTCAAAACTATAAATTGATCTATTGTCAAGACTATGGACTGATCTATACTCAAGACTATAGATCTATTGTCAAGACTATAGACTGATCTATAGTCAATTTTGATTTATAGTTAAGACTATAGTTTGATATATAGTCAATACTATAGATAGATCTATAGTCAAGACTATATATGGATCTATAGTTAAGACTATAGATTGATCGATATTCAAGACTAAAGATTGTTCTATAGTCAAGACTATTCCTTACCTATGGTCAAGTCTACAGATTGGTCTAAAGTCAAGACTATAGATTGTTCTATAGTTAAGACTATAGACTGATCTATTATAGCCAAGACTATAGACTGATCTGGACGTAGTTTCTTAGCATTTTCTTAACAGTGTTTCTGAGGAAAAACATGATTTCTGGATCTAATTTTGAGGAAAGCCTAGTAATAACTGAGAAAGAGTTTTACTGTCCTCTCCGCATGATCTATATTCATTTAATTCCGTTAGTCTGCTCTCAATCCGTTTGTCTTGAAAGAAATGCTGTCACATAACATGTTTTGTACTGATTTTTCTTCTTCTTAACATAAATTACTGCTGTATTTAGGTAGTCCACATGATCTACTAAACATTCACTTCTGCAGTACCATGGAAGTATGAATATATATAAGCTTAACGTATACCTATCAAGGGTCAATAGAGTCGAGATTCTATTCTCGATCCTTTAGTGGAACTGTTTCTTTGTAGTCCAATCATGACTTCATACCCGGGAACTCACATCAATTCGTCAAAGTGTCGTGTAAGCTGGGAGAGATAGTGAATGCAATTGAGAGCAAGTTTGCCGACATAGTTGTTAATGATCGACATTTCGAGATTTAGTTCTCAGAGGTTTCTTACAGCCGTATCGATGGTGAATTTAGCCTGGTTAATAGTGCAAGCATTGGGCAATGTGATAAAGATGAAGCTCATCAAAGAAAAATTCCCGAGGCAGTACCCATAGCAGTTTTTTGTGCGTCTTCCAAAAAGAACAGTGTTTTCAGGCCAGTCTTTTGTCCAAAAGATTAAAGTAGGAAGCAGTAGTTTCAATAATGCTGATCTCGTTCCTTCGACAATTGGATCTCAACTCCGGATCGACCCGATTCTCAATCGGCCAAAGATTGTCAACTCAGCAACAGCTGTATCAAGCATAAGTGTTTGCCCAGGGAAGAACATCCAGTCACAGCCAATCAATTACAACAACATTATCCTGATCTCGATTCTATATAAGAATAGCAATGGTCTTTTCAAGACTTCTGAGTATATGAGTCGTATAGAGGGATATAATTAGATCGTATCGTAATCGTAATTGGACAGATTTTCAAATCATTCCTTAAAACTAATAACAATTCAGATTGTTAACAGCTATCTGATGATCAACTTAATGACTCTGAGGAGGATCATAGACATCTCATCGACAGAGTCTAGTATATCGATAAAGTCACCTAAGACTTATTGGTTTGATCTCAGAGGCTTATTAATTTTAGTTTTTCCCAAAAAGATCAAATCATATGAGGGTTCCATGAAGTTCACTGTTTAATGTGGGTAATATTCCTAAAAAGTTATCATCAAAAATAAGCGCTACAGATCATTGATTAAAATTACTTTATATTCGAACCGAAAGATATTGATGAGGATCGCTTCTGGATTCAGGACACTTTAAGAGTATTGTTGGAGATGTTGTTAGTTCTTTGAGAACTGTGTTAGAGAAGTTCAAGACAAGAGTTATCGATCAACGTTTCGAAAACGACATGTGCTATCATCGTCAAAGATTAACGCTACTGATCGATGAATAACATTTCTTTTGATTCGATTTGAACAATATGAATACGGATCTGGGATGACAGCGCTATTACCAGTACGGTCGTAAAAGTGGCTTAAATTGGTCACAATGATCGTGCAATTTGCCCAAAGTAGACTTTTGATCGTGAAATCGGACGTTCAGTCGTAATCGATTGATTTCCTTTAATCGGAAGTTACTAAGAGATCAAACGACTGAATAAAACTTTCGGATCTATGCTGTTGCTTAGACTAATCCGCCTTCACACATCATCTACTTAGTCTAGAGCTAAGTTACTAACCCTGTAATCTGTAGGGTATTCAAAAGTCGACTTCATTAGACATATCTCTCTCTATTTGTTTCCATTTCCATTGTTGTCGTAACCAACATGCTTATAAGATTAAATTTTAACGATAGACGATTACAACGCATCATAAAAACTCCTAAATAACGATGTATATATACGAGAAAATGTATCATTCTCACACATGCACACTGGCAAACACATACAAATGTAGATGTTTCTTCTTCTTCATTTTGCACTGTATTATTTACAGCAAAAAAAAATACAAATTAAAAGAAAATACGAAAAAACAATAAATACAAACAATTTTGGAGGATTTTTAGTTCGTCAACAAACTAAACTAAACCAATAAATAACACCAGTTCCAATAATAGTTTCCAAAATTCTAATAATATTTTAGAATTTTTAAATTCCTTAATTATCAAAATTTAATTAAATACCATTTCACAACTTAGTAATTATCAATTCTTTAAATATAGTTCAAAAAATCCGGAAATTCTAATCCTGTTTTTGAAATGGAAATGGTGTTCGAACTCGTATATGTATTTCGAATAAGTCTAAATAAAAACATGCTGCTAATTCGTGACTCTAGCAAAAGGTGTGTTTATGAGAGTGATACTCTCTCCCTACTCAACTAGAACATACTCATGTCACTAAAGGAGGATAAAAATAAACAAACTAAAACTGAATTCTCAAATCCTCAACTATTTTCTTTTGCTATTCTTCATCTTTTCTATATAGTATTTTATGGGTATTTATTTGTGGATTTTTGTCACACATTTTCGTGTTTAACAATGTGTTTGTTGTAATGTAATAACTACTACTAATATGAGAATTTTTAGTAGCGGTAGTGTACAGTGTGTCAAAAAAGTAATAGGTTATTATTTGGGCAAATTGTATGAGTTCCACTATTATTCTTACTCGTTAGGAGTACATTAGAGATGCAATAATATTAAAAGGACCTTATTCGGGAATCAATCTCGAAATCGCTAGTTCCGATGTTACTGTTTAAGAATCTAGAGTGGAATGAATTGATTTTAAGAAAAAGTACTAAAATAGTGGGATCTACTAGTCTATGTTTTGGTGACCAATTCACACATCCGCCTTAAGATATTGTCACACCCCTAAGTCGTTCGGAATGTAAATTCTTAATAGAACTCTATTTCAATAAAATTCACATGCTATAGAGCGATCGCAACTATCGATTTCAAGGAGTGGATGTGAGAATTGGCGTCCAAGGTTGTGCATTTTGGCAGCTTTTGTTTATTAGCCACTCTATGTCACTAGTTAGTTAGTTAGTTAGTTAGTTAGTTAGTTAGTTAGTTAGTAGTTAGTTAGTTAGTTAGTTAGTTAGTTAGTTAGTTAGTTAGTTAGTTAGTTAGTTAGTTAGTTAGTTAGTTAGTTAGTTAGTAGTTAGTTAGTTAGTTAGTTAGTTAGTTAGTTAGTTAGTTAGTTAGTTAGTTAGTTAGTTAGTTAGTTAGTTAGTTAGTTAGTTAGTTAGTTAGTAGTTAGTTAGTTAGTTAGTTAGTTAGTTAGTTAGTTAGTTAGTTAGTTAGTTAGTTAGTTAGTTAGTTAGTTAGTTAGTTAGTTAGTTAGTTAGTTAGTTAGTTAGTTAGTTAGTTAGTAGTTAGTTAGTTAGTTAGTTAGTTAGTTAGTTAGTTAGTTAGTTAGTTAGTTAGTTAGTTAGTAGTTAGTTAGTTAGTTAGTTAGTTAGTTAGTTAGTTAGTTAGTTAGTTAGTTAGTTAGTTAGTTAGTTAGTTAGTTAGTTAGTAGTTAGTTAGTTAGTTAGTTAGTTAGTTAGTTAGTTAGTTAGTTAGTTAGTTAGTTAGTTAGTTAGTAGTTAGTTAGTTAGTTAGTTAGTTAGTTAGTTAGTTAGTTAGTTAGTTAGTAGTTAGTTAGTTAGTTAGTTAGTTAGTTAGTTAGTTAGTTAGTTAGTTAGTTAGTTAGTTAGTTAGTTAGTTAGTTAGTTAGTTAGTTAGTTAGTTAGTTAGTTAGTTAGTTAGTTAGTTAGTTAGTTAGTTAGTTAGTTAGTTAGTTAGTTAGTTAGTTAGTTAGTTAGTAGTTAGTTAGTTAGTTAGTTAGTTAGTTAGTTAGTTAGTTAGTTAGTTAGTTAGTTAGTTAGTTAGTTAGTTAGTTAGTTAGTAGTAGTTAGTTAGTTAGTTAGTTAGTTACGTAAGGAAGTATTTGTATGTTTACTTCATTCACCCACTGTATGTAAGTGTGTAATAGCAGTAGACGGTAATCGCATGTAAGTGGAAGTATGTATTAATAGAGTTAAACAAAATATAAACTTTGCCTGAAACGAAACAATACATCTACGTACGTACATACATATGTATGTAAGTATTTAGTACCACAACTCTAGTATAATCTTTATTCACATGTTGTTCTTGCTTTTGTTGTTGATATATTTGCACTACTAACAATTGGACACTTAGTCCGTTCATGGACGGACATATTTCAGATTTCAGTTGTGTATGATTTTTATAAGAGATTTTCAAATTGAGAGGCTCACATTGGCCTTTTGCCGTTATTTTCATTTCTCATCGTATTATTTACACACACACACACACACTTGTGATATTGTTTTCACGATTTACGTCTGCCTGTATGAATATGTGCGAAGTCAGTTTAAAGATTAAAGAAAAAAAAAACTCTGATGAAAATTTATTTTAGTCGTCAGTTTAGAATACAACGTAATGGAACCGTTTACGAGCACGCGACAAAAGTTGGCGTTCTAATTCGCCATTTAAATCGCGGGCTCTTGTTTACGACGAAAAATCGGAAGCGAGAAAACAAGAAAACGAGAAAATATAAACAATAATAAATAACGGTTAATAATTTTAATAAAACGGTTAACAATTATAAGTGTTTCTTTTGGGAATTTTGTTAAACAACTAGTGAAATAAGAAAATAATATGAAATTAATAAATTTCATTGCCTATTTACAGGCTATTGAATTCATGTCATTAAAATTTGTGTTGTTACTGTGTTCGTTCGCGTGTGAAAATGTCACGAAAATAAACGTGTTTTGAAATTAGATTTATACATATTTGAAGATATTTAGCAATATTTGCTTTAGAATTTGCAAACAAATATAAAAACAAAGTTAATTTTTTGCCTATGAAAAGTTTTTTAAACCAATTGTATTTTGACAAGTGTTAAAATTGATTTTAATTGCAGTTTATTTCGTGCTTAACATTATTTTGTTAAAAAACGTAAGTGTTTTCTTTAAGAAGAAATAAATTGTAATCGAAAATTTAGAAAAAAGGGAAATCTTAAGCTTTTAAATCCTCCCGTGTGGATCTTATCGTGTTTTTAAAGACGCACAGACAGACAAATACACAGGCGGACGGACGGACGGACATGGCTAAATCGTATACTTTTGTAGACTTTCGTTGAATTCTAGAACTTGGAATTTCAGAAGAAAGAAAAACTTTAACCCTTTAGTTCCTCCTGTATGTGTCTTATCGTGTCCCTTAAAGCGGACAGATAGACGGACCTGGTCTTAAAAGCATCGCATCTAATAAGCATCGTGTATAATTTTGTGGTGCTTCGTTGTATATAGTTCCACATCTAGTTCCAGTTCCCGAATTTTTAGAAAAAAGGAAAATTTTAACCATTTAGCTCCTCCCTTATGGGTCTTATCGTGTTTTTAAAGACAGACAGATAGACAGATATATAGATAGACAGACATAACAGACAGACAGACAGACAGACAGACAGACAGACATATATATAGATAGACTGACGGATGGACGGACATGGCTAGATCGTCATAAAATCTAATAAGGATCCAGAGTATTTGTTCCTTTTGGGGTCCTTCGTTGCATTAGTAACACAACTAGTTCTAAAACTTCTCGTGCTTTTAATGACTGATTGACAAACAGAAATGCAGACGGACAGACACACATACATGCAGACGGACCTGACTATATCTTCTTAAAGTCTAATAAGGGTCTTCATTGTGTTAGTTCCATAAATAGTTATAGAATGAATGATTTTCTCTTGCATTCGTTGGAAGAGGTTCCATGGAAACGGTTCTCGAATCAGTTCTTTCTTAAAGGATTTTAGTCTGAAACATTTTGATCAACAGTTTAAATTCTTTATTTGATCATCATAAAATTTCTCTCTCTCCGTTCAAATGTCGATTTAACATTTCAATTATTTTAAATAGTTTCCATTAAAATCCTAATCAGACAAGCTATTGTTATACTTCTTATACATATTTGTAAATAGAAAAACAGGCAAACATTTCTTTATGTACTTTTGCTCTAATTTGTCAAATTCTTTCTATATAAATTTACAATGTCTATGGGAGTCGGTCCGTCCAATTTAAATAATGCTCGTTTTCTTTTATTTTTATTGTTATAATATAATTTTAAATAGAATATTTATGTATATATATAAACACAAAGTATTCTTCAGTTCATACTAATCACTTTATTGTAGAAAAATTTTGCTCACTTTGTTCCTCATGTTTTTGCCCTGATAACTGATAACATGGGGCCATAATATACTCGTTTGTATTCGTTTTAATTTCCGTATAATGTATTGGATTTCCTAGATTTTTTTTCTTGTATATTAAAATTTCCATCTAATTTAACTTTCAAAATAAATGAAATCGTTAATAGAGATACTGAAAAGAGAGTTTGATACCCTACGGTTTTATAGTGGTAGGGGTAATAGGCAGTTGGGCTAAGGTTTGTTATGGTTAATTGTAAAGGTGTTGCAAATATTTTAAAGAAGAACTAACGATTTAAAGTCTTAATGACTAGGTCTATCTATCCGTTCCTTTTTATAAAGTCACAATATATCCATGACCAAAGTCCAAATCGAACATGGAAAGTTTGGTGCAAAACGGACCTAAAGACCTACAGGGGTTGGATTGAACACAAAAGCGAGTGAATCCCATAAGACTATTTGAAATAAGGAAACGCTGATTGCAACCACAAAGATGCTCTGGGATGAGCCTAACGAGAGGAGGACGAGAAGTCCCTTCAGTATGAGCAAGTCCGAGATTAGTATAATGGTCTACAGTCCAGTCTATAGTCTGATCTAGGCTACAGTTCAGTCTATAGTCTGATCTAGACTACAGTCCAGCCTATAATCTGGTCTAGCCTATACCAGTCTATAGTCTGTAGTCTGGTCTATACTCTAGTCTATAGGGTTGTCTATAGTGTGGTCTATAGTCTAGTCTACAGTCTAGCCTATAGTCTATTCTACAGTGCAGTCTACAGTCGGGTCTGTAGTCTAGTCTATAATCTGGTCTATAATCCAGTATATTATCTGATTTTTAGTCTAGTCTACAGTCCAGTCTATAGTCTAGTCTACAGTCCAGTTTATAGTGTGGTCTATAGTCTACTCTATAGTATGGTCTATAGTTTACTCTACAGTCCAGTCTATAGTCTGGTCTATATTCTAGTCTAAAGTCCAGTCTATAATCTGGTCGGTCTATAGTTCAGTCCTAAGTCTGGACTATAGTGTAGGCTATAGTCTGGTCTATAGTTGAGTCTATAGTTTAATCTATAGTCTGGTTTATAATGTAGTCAAGTCTATAGTCAGGTCCATAGTCAAGTCTCTAATCTGTCTATAGTCAGGTCTATAGTCCGACCTATAGTCTGGTTTATAGTCTAGTCTATAGACTGGTCCATTGTCTAATCTATGGTCCAGTCTATAGTCTGGTGTATGGTCTAGTCTATAGTTCAGTCTATTGTTTAATATAAAGTCTGGTCTATAGTCTGGTTTATAGCCTGCTCTATAATCTAGTCCATAGTCTGTTCTACAATCCAGCCTATAGTTCAGTTCAGTATATAGCTGATATCAAGTTCGACTACACCTCATGAGAATCACTAGTGCAGGGTATTATTTAGTCGGATGTGCCCTCAATCCGTCACTTTGTTATTGCGGATTTCAATTGAGTATCATGTCGACATAGACTTAGATGAATAATTAAGGAAAACGAAATTTAATCTTTTTTGTTTAAGAAATGCAATTAATTTTTAACAATTTGTTTAAAGAGCATTTATGACATTTACACACACTCTCTCTCTCTATCTTTCTTCTAAATAAAACAATTTTAATTATTTTCTTAATCTAATTTTTCAAATTGTATGCTTAACATTTTTTCACACTGCTAAACGTGCAGAACATTGAACTTTTACTGTATGTATATGTTTATTTATTTATTTGGTTAAATAAATAAAAATTTGTAGTTTATTGTTTAGTTATTATTATTACATTGTAGTACTAAATATAATTGTAAATTAGTTCAAGGATAATGTTTACAATAACGTCTCTCTTATGAGTTTAATCTTAATTGATATAAAATAAATAAAATATTTTTTTCAAAAATTTATAGAAACGAAAACAAAGTCTAATCGTAAAAAATTGTTAATAAATTTAATTTCATTTGAGTAAATAATAAAGAGAAAATAATTAAATTATAGCAAAATTATTTTATAATAAAAATTATTTATATAAAAAGTTTTAAAAATGTCTAGGCAAGTCCGTCCGTCCGTTTCCTAAGGTTGAAATTTTGTAAAATTGATGTACATACATACACTTCCTGAGATCTGAAGAAATACACAGAGGCCGCTAACGGGCCAGTTATCCACTCCCTTATATGTTTCCATATTTTTTGGTGGGAAAAATTGTATATAGTGATCTATGAACCTACATATGTATATCATACGATGTTCAGTTTTCTGTATTAAATTTCTCAGAATTTTTCAATCAGTGCTCCCATTCTATATCTGGAATAACATCGTTCCCACAAAACAAGGATAGTCTATACTATAGACTAGACTATAGACTAGACTATAGACTAGACTATACACTAGACTATAGACTAGACTAGACTAGACTATAGACTAGACTATAGACTAGACTATAGACTAGACTATAGACTAGACTATAGACTAGACTATAGACTAGACTATAGACTAGACTATAGACTAGACTATAGACTAGACTATAGACTAGACTATAGACTAGACTATAGACTAGACTAGGACTATAGACTAGACTATAGACTAGACTATAGACTGGACTATAGACTAGACTATAGACTAGACTATAGACTAGACTATAGACTGGACTATAGACTAGACTATAGACTGGACTATAGACTGGACTATAGACTAGACTATAGACTGGACTATAGACTAGACTATATACTAGACTATAGACTAGACTATGGACTAGACTATAGACTAGACTAAAGACTAGACTAAAGACTAGACTAAAGACTAGACTATAGACTAGACTATAGACTAGACTATAGACTAGACTATAGACTAGACTATAGACTAGACTATATACTAGACTATAGACTAGACTATGGACTAGACTATAGACTAGACTAAAGACTAGACTAAAGACTAGACTATAGACTAGACTATAGACTAGACTATAGACTAGACTATAGACTAGACTATAGACTAGACTATAGACTAGACTATAGACTAGACTATAGACTAGACTATAGACTAGACTATAGTATAGATTAGACTATAGACTAGTCTATAGACTAGACTATAGACTAGACTATAGACTAGGACTATAGACTAGACTATAGACTAGACTATAGACTAGACTATAGACTAGTCTATAGACTAGACTATAGACTAGACTATAGATTAGACTATAGACTAGACTATAGACTAGACTATAGACTAGACTATAGGACTAGACTATAGACTAGACTATAGACTAGGACTATAGACTAGACTATAGACTAGACTATAGACTAGACTATTAGACTAGACTATAGGACTAGACTATAGACTAGACTATAGACTAGACTATATACTAGACTATAGACTAGACTATGGACTAGACTATAGACTAGACTAAAGACTAGACTATAGACTAGACTATAGACTAGACTATAGACTAGACTATAGACTAGACTATAGACTAGACTATAGACTAGACTATAGACTAGACTATAGACTAGACTATAGACTAGACTATAGACTAGGACTATAGACTAGACTATAGACTAGACTATAGACTAGACTATAGAACTAGACTATAGACTAGACTATAGACTAGACTATAGACTAGACTATAGACTAGACTATAGACTAGACTATAGACTAGACTATAGACTAGACTATAGACTAGACTATAGACTAGACTATAGACTAGACTATAGACTAGACTATAGACTAGACTATAGACTAGACTATAGACTAGGCTATAGACTAGACTATAGACTAGACTATATACTAGACTATAGACTAGACTATGGACTAGACTATAGACTAGACTAAAGACTAGACTAAAGACTAGACTATAGACTAGACTATAGACTAGACTATAGACTAGACTATAGACTAGACTATAGACTAGACTATAGACTAGACTATAGACTAGACTATAGACTAGACTATAGACTAGACTATAGACTAGACTATAGACTAGACTATATACTAGACTATAGACTAGACTATGGACTAGACTATAGACTAGACTAAAGACTAGACTAAAAACTAGACTATAGACTAGACTATAGACTAGACTATAGACTAGACTATAGACTAGACTATAGACTAGACTATAGACTAGACTATAGACTAGACTATAGACTAGACTATAGACTAGACTATAGACTAGACTATAGACTAGACTATAGACTAGACTATAGACTAGTCTATAGACTAGACTATAGACTAGACTATAGACTAGACTATAGACTAGACTATAGATTAGACTATAGACTAGTCTATAGACTAGACTATAGACTAGACTATAGACTAGACTATAGACTAGACTATAGACTAGACTATAGACTAGACTATAGACTAGTCTATAGACTAGACTATAGACTAGACTATAGACTAGACTATAGACTAGACTATAGACTAAACTATAGACTAGACTATAGACTAGACTATAGACTAGACTATAGACTAGACTATAGACTAGACTATAGACTAGACTATAGACTAGACTATAGACTAGACTATAGACTAGACTATAGACTAGACTATAGACTAGACTATAGACTAGACTATAGACTAGACTATAGACTAGACTATAGACTAGACTATAGACTAGACTATAGACTAGACTATAGACTAGACTATAGACTAGACTATAGACTAGACTATAGACTAGACTATAGACTAGACTATAGACTAGACTATAGACTAGACTATAGACTAGACTATAGACTAGACTATAGACTAGACTATAGACTAGACTATAGACTAGACTATAGACTAGACTATAGACTAGACTATAGACTAGACTATAGACTAGACTATAGACTAGACTATAGACTAGACTATAGACTAGACTATAGACTAGACTATAGACTAGACTATAGACTAGACTATAGACTAGACTATAGACTAGACTATAGACTAGACTATAGACTAGACTATAGACTAGACTATAGACTAGACTATAGACTAGACTATAGACTAGACTATAGACTAGACTATAGACTAGACTATAGACTAGACTATATACTAGACTATAGACTAGACTATGGACTAGACTATAGACTAGACTAAAGACTAGACTAAAGACTAGACTATAGACTAGACTATAGACTAGACTATAGACTAGACTATAGACTACTATAGACTAGACTATAGACTAGACTATAGACTAGACTATAGACTAGACTATAGACTAGACTATAGACTAGACTATAGACTGGACTATAGACTAGACTATAGACTAGACTATAGACTGGACTATAGACTAGACTATAGACTGGACTATAGACTAGACTATAGACTAGACTATAGACTGGACTATAGACTAGACTATAGACTAGACTATAGACTAGACTATAGACTGGACTATAGACTAGACTATAGACTGGACTATAGACTAGACTATAGACTGGACTATAGACTAGACTATAGACTAGACTATAAACTAGTCTATAGACTAATTCTTTTGACGTTATCTTTAATATTTATTCCATTTGCACCTATATGGAACCACAATTTCTTTAACTGCGTAAAAAATTCTAAAGTTTGACATTATTCTATTACCTTAACCCATTAATTAAGTGCATCATAAAATTAATCTTGTTTTATCTATATGATTAAAGCCATTTTTATTGAACAAAAAATATAACTCGAAATAAATTAATTATTTTTTTTTTTTCAAAAAACTTGTAATTTAATAAAAAAAACATAAAACAATAGAAATAAATCAAACACAAAAAATATATTTCGCTCGTTTTATTATAAGAACGTCTTATCTTCTGTTGTACGATTATTGTATATTTAACACGATTATATTACTACTATATAGTATGTTGTATATATGTATATTTGTAGATTTGTCTGTTTATATAGATTTTCATATACAATATAATTTAATTATACAATTTTATATTCATCATCTATTTACTACCCCGACTTGATAAGGCGCTCACTCACTCACTCACCAACTCAGTCAATAAAATAATTTATATTTTACTTTTATTAAAATTTTAACATTTATAGTAGAAGAAATGAAAAAGACTAACGACATCCATATTCCTATTCATCTATTTAATTATCTTATTTTGGGTGAGAAAGGCAGAAAAAAATTCAGATTTTATTTGAATTTAAATTTCACGTTATGTACGCGGGTACAGTGTGTTTTACAAGATAATTTTAGCTGTATTAATATTTATTTTATTTTATTTACAAAGTTCTTTAAATATAACATTTATAAATCTTTGTTTTTATCTCTATTTTTTAAGAACACTGGCAAATAGTTTAATTGTCTCGTGTTGGTTTTGTATGGGGGGCTCATAAAGATTTTTTTCATGGAAATGATTTGCTATTTGCAAAAAAGTCTAGTTGAGTTGAAATATCGGGCTAAATTTTTATACCTACCTTTAAAAAATATGGCGTCTGCTGAAAGCATGATAGGACCCGAACATTTCAAAAAAATATTTTCTATTTGGCTTTATGAATGATGAAATGATATGAGACGAATCCATAACAGTCTCTAGAGTTGTCATTACGTCTTTAAAATTTCACCGCTTGATGTGGTGAACGCACGTGGTATCATGGGATCGTATTTCTTTAAAAATGAAGTCGGAACTCGCCATACAGTCTATGGCCATCGTTACTACACTATGATCAATAAATTTCTATTTGAAAATGTAGAGGACATTGATACGGACGAGATGTGGTTTCAACAGTATAGCGCTATGTCCTATACGGCGATCGCAACCATAATTATTGAAAAAAAAAAATCTGGTCTCAAATTACGGCATACGATATCGATCGAAATCTCAATAGAATCTAAATGGAGATTTCGATCGATGTCTTATGCTACAATTTGGTCCCTGTTCGAGTCAAATATTAATGTCGTGTATTAGTAGTTCAGTTCTAGTTCAGTTCTAGTTCAGTTCTAGTTCTAGTAGTTCCAGTTCTAGTTCTAGTCCGTTTAGTTCAGTTCTAGTTCAGTTAGTTCAGTTCTAGTTCAGTTCTCGTTCAGTTCTAGTCAGTTCTAGTTCAGTTCTAGTTCAGTTCTAGTTCAGTTCTAGTTCAGTTCTAGTTCAGTCTAGTTCAGTTCTAGTTCAGTTCTAGTTCAGTTCTAGTTCAGTTCTAGTTCAGTTCTAGTTCAGTTCTAGTTCAGTTCTAGTTCAGTTCTAGTTCAGTTCTAGTTCAGTTCTAGTTCAGTTCTAGTTCAGTTCTAGTTCAGTTCTAGTTCAGTTCTAGTTCAGTTCTAGTTCAGTTCTAGTTCAGTTCTAGTTCAGTTCTAGTTCAGTTCTAGTTCAGTTCTAGTTCAGTTCTAGTTCAGTTCTAGTTCAGTTCTAGTTCAGTTCTAGTTCAGTTCTAGTTCAGTTCTAGTTCAGTTCTAGTTCAGTTCTAGTTCAGTTCTAGTTCAGTTCTAGTTCAGTTCTAGTTCAGTTCTAGTTCAGTTCTAGTTCAGTTCTATTTCTAGTTCAGTTCTAATTCAGTTCTAGTTCCAGTTCAGTTGTAGCTTAGTTGTAGTTTAGTTGTAGTTTAGTTGTAGTGTGTAGTTTAGTTCAGTTGTAGTTCAGTTGTAGTTCAGTTGTAGTTCTTAGTTAGTTAGTTAGATAGTTAGTTAGTTAGTTAGTTAGTTAGTTAGTTAGTTAGTTAGTTAGTTAGTTAGTAGTAGTTAGTTAGTTAGTTAGTTAGTTAGTTAGTAGTAGTTAGTTAGTTAGTTAGTTAGTAGTTAGGTTAGTTAGTTAGTTAGTTAGTTTTAGTTCGTAGTAGTTAGTTAGTTAGTTAGTTAGTTCGTTAGTTAGTTAGTTAGTTTAGTTAGTTAGTTAGTTATTAGTTAGTTAGTTAGTTAGTTAGTTAGTTAGTTAGTTAGTTAGTTAGTTAGTTAGTTAGTTAGTTAGTTAGGTTTAGTAGTTAGTAGTAGTAGTTAGTTAGTTAGTAGTTAGTTAGTAGTTAGTTAGTTAGTTAGTTAGTTAGTTAGTTAGTTAGTTAGTAGTTAGTTAGTTAGTTAGTTAGTTAGTTAGTTAGTTAGTTAGTTAGTTAGTAGTTAGTTAGTTAGTTAGTAGTTAGTTAGTTAGTTAGTTAGTTAGTTAGTTAGTTAGTTAGTTAGTTAGTTAGTTAGTTAGTTAGTTAGTTAGTTAGTAGTTAGTTAGAGTTAGTTAGTAGTAGTTAGTTAGTTAGTTAGTTAGTAGTAGTTAGTTAGTTAGTAGTTAGTTAGTTAGTTAGTAGTTAGTTAGTTAGTTAGTTAGTTAGTTAGTTAGTTAGTAGTTAGTTAGTAGTTAGTTAGTTAGTTAGTTAGTTAGTTAGTAGTTAGTTAGTAGTTAGTAGTTAGTTAGTTAGTTAGTTAGTTAGTAGTAGTTAGTTAGTTAGTTAGTTAGTTAGTTAGTAGTAGTTAGTTAGTAGTTAGTTAGTTAGTTAGTAGTTAGTTAGTTAGTTAGTTAGTAGTTAGTTAGTTAGTAGTAGTTAGTTAGTTAGTTAGTTAGTTAGTTAGTTAGTTAGTTAGTTAGTTAGTTAGTTACATTGTGACGTAGTATTTGATCCAAGTCCGTCATTTCTTTCGAAAATTTACTTAAATATGATATGACATTTTACAGTTCCGCCTACAACTGACCCGAGCCCTAAAAGATGTCGCCCTTTTTATATAGAAAACAGTTATTGTAGGACATATTAAAGTCGGACATCATACATATAATTTTTGTACATGTTTTATTAAATTCTTTCCAAAATTCTTTTACCTAATTCTCTTTTGTTTTTTCTCCTTTCTTTGCAGAAATGTCATCTACATTTACCGTTATCCTGTCGACAGAAACAAAATTTTCTAATTAACAATAAAAATCTCATTAATCAAAGTGACTGAATAAAGAAGAAATAATAAATAAACAACAAACAAGAAACGATAAAAGAAAACCAATAAAACGAAAAATAATAAAAGAAAACAAAAACAAGAAACAGATACGCACAAAATCATAATCATAAAAGTAACACAAGTAATAAATTCTTAAATTAAGTTCCATTAAGAAGGCAGGTAACGCCTTCTTTTCTTTAATAAACCACAAAAATACAAAAGGCAGCTTCCATGCAAAATTTCGAAATAAAATATTTACAAATTTGCCAACAACATGTTTGTTCAAAAAGTAAATAGTAATGCAATCATTTGACAACTACTGGAAAAACGTATCTGGTATCAAGCTATAAAACATCACATAAAATTGTGTGAAAAGTGCTAAAAAATTCTCCAAAGAAACTAAATTTTTTTAAAAAAACTATTATTTTTAATTTCAATTATTTTGTTTATTAAAATACAAATCGCTCTAAAAAGTGTTTAACAGTGTTTTTTATAAAAACCCACAGTTTGAAAAATCATTTAAAAAACAAAAATTTCATTTAAAAAAACCAAAAATTATCAAACCTACCGCATGAGGGTTAACGTGTCTAAAGCATTCATTTCAAAAACGTTTATGTACGGTTTGAAAGTGTCACTTCAACGCCAATTAACTAAAAGCAATAAGAAGAAATCTTTGGAATTTTACTTAAATCTAGATAAAACAATTAAACAAAAACAAAAGTTAAAAGTTTCTCCTCTATACGAAGCCTTAACGCTATTAACGGAATTTGCAACATTTGCAAGCTTATTACAACCCCTACTCTTAGCAGTAGTAGTACTAATCAATATATTTATTTCGTTTAACGGGTTCAGTCGTTTAACGGTCTTAATGAATGACTTTCGGTTAAAAACTTTCTATTGTAAATCGAGTAAATCTAGTAAATCTAATAAAACAATTAAAAAATCAACCACCAAGTTAGTGAGTAAAACATTTAGTACAACTTTAACATCAGCAGCTACGATAAAACTGAAATTATCCGCAACCTCCATAAAGTTGTCAACGTTACCGACGACCATCAACTCCTCCTCGTTTACGGACACATCAGCGGCAGCAGCTTTTGCAACGTCTGCCACATTGTTGAAAGCCAAGAGCAGTAAAAATAATAATCATAATCGTACTTACAACAATAGTAGTAAATCGAATAAAGTTTTTCTCTATTATACACCACGTGATCCACGTTTAAGGATTTTAATAAAAACTAAACATTTTTCTAAAAGACCCCAACAACAACCCCAAGTTTATAATAATAATTGTTGTTGTGATAATAAAAGTTCATTCAAAGTTTTAAGTGATTTGTGTAATTATGGTGAATTAATCGGTGGTCAATATAATAGTGGTGTTAATAAAACAATTGTTAAACAATTAAATAATAATAATATTAATAGTAAAGCTAATTTAAATAAAACTAAAGAAATTTGTGATAATTTAATTAAAACCAGTGATAATTTAATTGTTGCAACTGCTGCTCGTGCTGCCATCGAAACATCTTCTGCCGACGTTTTAATTGTCATTTTAACTGTTGTTGCTGTTATAAGTGAATACACTAAGGAATTGTTTAAATCTATTGAAATTTTATTAAGGTAAGTTGGATAAAATATAAAATATTTATAGTTATCAGTTCTTTTTCAGTTTTTGTTCAGTTCTAGTTCAGTTCTAGTTCAGTTCTAGTTCAGTGCTAGTTCAGTTCTAGTTCAGTTCTAGTTCAGTTCTAATTCAGTTCTAGTTCAGTTCTAGTTCAGTTCTAGTTCTAGTTCAGTTTCTAGTTCAGTTCTAGTTCAGTCTAGTTCAGTTCTAGTTCAGTTCTAGTTCAGTTCTAGTTCAGTTTCTAGTTCAGTTCTAGTTCAGTTCTAGTTCAGTTTCTAGTTCAGTTCTAGTTCAGTTCTAGTTCAGTTCTAGTTTCAGTTCTAGTTCAGTTCTAGTTCAGTTCTAGTTCAGTTCTAGTTCAGTTCTAGTTCAGTTCTAGTTCTAGTTCTAGTTCTGTTCTAGTTCAGTTCTAGTTCGTAGTTCAGTTCTAGTTCAGTTCTAGTTCCGTTCTAGTTCAGTTCTAGTTCAGTTCTAGTTCTAGTTCTAGTTCAGTTCTAGTTCAGTTCTAGTTCAGTTCTAGTTCAGTTCTAGTTCAGTTCTAGTTCAGTTCTAGTTCAGTTCTAGTTCAGTTCTAGTTCAGTTCTAGTTCAGTTCTAGTTCAGTTCTAGTTCAGTTCAGTTCTAGTTCAGTTCTAGTTCAGTTCTAGTTCAGTTCTAGTTCAGTTCTAGTTCAGTTCTAGTTCAGTTCTAGTTCAGTTCTAGTTCAGTTCTAGTTCAGTTCTAGTTCAGTTTCTAGTTCAGTTCTAGTTCAGTTCTAGTTCAGTTCTAGTTCAGTTCTAGTTCAGTTCTACTGTCAGTTCTAGTTTCAGTTCCCTATGATTAGTTCTAGTTCAGTTCTTGTTCAGATCTAGTTCAGTTCTAGTTCAGTTCTAGTTCAGTTCTAGTTCAGTTCATGTTCAGTTCATGTTCTAGTTCATGATCAGTTCATGTTCAGTTCATGTTCAGTTCATGTTCAGTTCATGTTCAGTTCATGTTCAGTTTCATGTTCAGTTCATGTTCAGTTCATGTTCAGTTCATGTTCAGTTCATGTTCAGTTCATGTTCAGTTCATGTTCAGTTCATGTTCAGTTCATGTTCAGTTCATGTTCAGTTCATGTTCAGTTCATGTTCAGTTCATGTTCAGTTCATGTTCAGTTCATGTTCAGTTCATGTTCAGTTGTTCGTTCATGTCGTTCATGTTCATGTTCAGTTCATGTTCAGTTCATGTTCAGTTCATGTTCAGTTCATGTTCAGTTCATGTTCAATTCATGTTCATTTCATGTCAATTCATGTCAGTTCATGTTCAGTTCATGTTCAGTTCATGTTCAGTTCATGTTCAGTTCATGTTCAGTTCATGTTCAGTTCATGTTCAGTTCATGTTCAGTTCATGTTCAGTTCATGTTCAGTTCATGTTCAGTTCATGTTCAATTCATGTTCAGTTCATGTTCAATTCATGTTCAGTTCGTGTTCAGTTCATGTTCAGTTCATGTTCAGTTCATGTTCAGTTCATGTTCAGTTCATGTTCAGTTCATGTTTGGTTCATGTTCATGTCAGTTATGTTCAGTTCATGTTCAGTTCATGTTCAGTTCATGTTCAGTTCTAGTTCAGTTCTAGTTCAAGTTCTGTTCAAGTTCTTTTCTAGTTCAGTTCTAGTTCAGTTTTAGTTCTAGTTCAGTACGAGTTAAATGCTACTCCAGTTTGTAGAAATCTGAGATCAAATATAAATTTTGAAAGAAGTATATGGAGGGTTTTGGTATAACATTCGTTTCGTTTTTTGGCAATGCAAAATTGTGAAAATAAAGTAATATTTTAAAAATCGTTTTAATAAATAATATTAAATCACAAATTTAAATTTTTTAAATTGCTTTTTGCATAATTTTACTTTTACTTTCATTTCCACTTTGACGTCATTTCCTACGCAAAATGATAAAAAAACACATGATCAGCAATGAGTCTGTGACACATGCCTTAATTTGCAAATCAATAAAAATATTTTCACATTTGTTGTTTTTTTGTTAAAAAAAAAAATTCTCTCAATATTTATCATAATTTAAATCTAGAATCAAGGATTTTGTTTAAATAAATTACAACAAAATATTAAAATGATTTCGGGGTTATTTAATTTATGATTTGTTGATAATAAAAACTTTCTTTCATAATAGTAAACAACAACTCTTTTACATCAAAATTGACAGCTAAAAACTGTCATTATGGATTTGCTTTAATACAATTTTATCACTGGGATTTTTTGTATATTTTTATATTATGTGTATTTCATTTTCTTTTTTTCTTTTATATTATAAAAATATAATTTTTCTTTAACATTGAGATTTATTAGCAAACAGACCAACGTCAACGCCATATTAAAAATATCATTTATGACAAAAATTTTCTTTTGACTTTTGCTTTTGTGCTGAATTCTTTTCAAAAGCTAAAAATACATTTTCGTAGAGATGATTTTGTACATGTACAAGATCTTTTAATGATTTTATAATAATTTATGAAGCAACAAAAAATAAATAAATAAATAAATAAATAGCAACATTATTTAAGTACGTAAATATAACAACAAATATTTATATATTTTTTTTTTGGCAACAACAAGCGTCAGACAAATATTTTTCCCAATTTTGTTTAGATTTTTTTTTTGCATTTTTTGAGAGAGATAGAGAGTAATAATGAGAAAAATTAGTATAAAAACATAGAGAGTGATCTTTTAATTTATGTTTGAATGAAAATTTATTATTGAGAATTAATGTTTACGAATTTAGAGGGGAAAGATGCCACTTAATGCAATAGACTTGTCAACGATCGACACTTTTTAGAATGTATATCTACCAATAGAAGTCTATCGATTCCATATCAATCGATTGAACATCCTTAAACAAATATGTATGTAAAGGAAAAGTAATAATTTTGATATCAAACAATTTAGAATCGGTTGTAGATCAGTAAAAGTGGAATATTATCCGCCATGACGACCTTATTAGACAATGATACCTTTAAAAGCACAGGATGGGCTGTTAGACGAACACGAAGTGCCATAGTCACTCCTCTGTGGGGTATCGGCAACAGCACCGAACTTTTCCCCAATTATAGACTTTACCGTGTATCAGTCTTTTAACCAACATTCTCCTTCCCCGAATTTGGGTCTAAAGCCCAAAATTTTAGTTGCGCGCCGAGGCGTCCTCTCCAATAACTAGGACAAGACAAAGTCCAGAACTATGCCCTGCGGGATACCGGTTCCCTTGGTACCATATAAGATAGGTTCTCTGTTTCGACCTTAGATCAAATCATTCTAAGGAATGGCCCTTGGTACTATCAGACACTCTTTTATCCTAAATTGCAATTACATCAAGATGGCGAAAGTTTATTAAGGGGGGGTAGTGTAAAGGACAAGATTGTAGAAGTGGTTTACGTGAGTACTTGGCGTAAAGACCTATCCCACGCTGGTACTTTTTGAACCACTGGGTGATTACAATACGTCGACCAGCGCCCCATTGGTCAACTTGTTACAACGCCTTGACAGAAAGAGCAAGAGTTACAAATTCGAAGACATTCTTCTGGACATGTCTTCACCCATTGTCAGGATCGGATACTATCTAATCTCCTAAATGCCTTTTTTATGGGTCAGTTACTCAGTTGCAATGCAACTCCCCACCGAGCTTACGCTCTACCCGAGATTTGGGTTTAAACCACAACCACCACGAAGGGCCTCACCAGGAACCAGGCTGGAACTAATGTTCCAGGGGCTCCTGGATCCCGTGGTACCAGATTATCGACTTCGGTCGGTCTTCGTAGACAGAACTACTCCAGTTGGGTCCCAGAAGACGCGGGACTGGTAACACCATACAACATATTCATACAGCAACTAACATACACTTCGTCAGTCAACATCCAGGTGTAAGGGACAATAATATACATTTGTACATATGATAATATATGTTTGTCCTCAAAAAACTATAGGGAAAACTGGAAAAATAGGCTGAAAATTTTAAATATATAAGCGATTTAATGCAACGCCAACGGAAAAAGTCTTAAGGGCTTAAATCGTTGGTCTGTCTTGTTAGTAGGTCTTGACGATCACAAATTACCATCAAAATAGAATGTAAAGTATATTCCAGAGAGAAAGGAGAAGAGAATTGATTCTAGGTTAGATTGAAAGGAGGTCAAATCGAATCGGTCAAATGTTCACTAAGATTACGTCCCCTACCTCGGACTTATTAATTTTGAAGATACTAACTCGTTCTCGTGACCGAATGGGATTCTCTCGCCCATGTTTTTGATTCAGTCGAACTGTTTTTCATTGATCTGGTTAACTTTCTTAAGCTCCCTTCTCTTTTTAGCAATTACATTCGCACTTTCATTGTCGATAATTCCCTAATGGTTCGAATACAGACACAGACTTTGTCAGTTAAATATAAATTTGTTCAAGGCTGTTCAAGGAAAACCCGAGAAGAACAAAGACAAGAAGGACCTGTTTCTAAATTTCCCTTCGCTTTTTAGCAAGTACATTGGCCCATTCATTGCCGAATATCCCCAAGTAATCTAAATGTTATGGTTACCTTACAGTCCAATCGGTTCTAGTTTTAACAATTAATATGAACGGGTCTATTCTATTCCCTATTTTAAATATAAACAAGTTAGAGTGCTATATTCGGCTGAGCCGAATCTTAAATATCCTCCACCAGCTACTTTTATATTAATACTTTTCTAATTGATCAAATATTTGTAGAAATAAGTTTTCTCATATCTTAAATAAAAAATCCCTAGATTCAAACAGCTCTAATCTATTACAATTCCAAGATTTATTGAACATTACCAACGCTCGGCGATCTTTATTAATTTGCATGTATGCATGTGTGTGAAAGATTTAAGGATTTTCAAAATACATATATATATAATTTTGTTCTACACAAATTGATAATGCAACTAGTTAAATACGGTTTTAGGAGCAGGACCTAGTATGGGAGATATGACCAATATAGACCGATCGTTAAAAAATTCTTTAAGCAAAAC